ACCATACCAAACATGATCTGGAGCTTTCATGGCAACGAAGTATAATAAATTATTCTCTGGCTACCAGCCATGTCAGGTGGTTGAAAGGCGAAAAACCAATGTTTTGAGAACCATCTTTGTCCTCGCTACCCTGAGGGCGTATACGAGGATGGTTCTTGCTTTTCAACCACCTAACATGGCTGGTAGCCCGAGAATAATTTATTGTATCATACCAAGCAGATTGTCACTGCCATAAGTCAGCTGTTTTTTCTTCTCAGCCTACCAGGTTTGAATCATGATTGGTGACTATCTACCCAGACAGTACTTTTGCAATCTTTCTCATTGTCCTTTCAAGGAAGTGCTGGGATATTATCTTCAGGTTATGATTGTGTATGTGTGTTGTGGAAGCTGTGCACATCAACATGTTCAAGAGGCCAGAACTACCATTTCCTTTCCTGTTTGTCATTCATAATTATAAGACCTAAGAACCATTTTCTGCTAAATATTTTATCTATACGCTGAACTTTCTTGACAAGTTTTAAATTGAGAGAAAACATTTGTTGTGATACATATAACATTATGCTCATGAACTTTTTTCCCCTAAATTTTTGCAGTAATTTAGAAACACTGTATATGAATTGTGATTAGGACAGTTCCTATTTAATAAAGCTTTTGTTGGGATTCATTAATTTTATACTTACGAAGTTCATTTTATTTGATATTTTGCAGATGCTCCGAAACCACAACGTGAGAGGAGAACCAGAGACAGAGGTAAGAATGATATAGTAAATATTTTATCTGAACTGGAATTATGTGAATGAATTGTTGTTTTAAAATCATGTTTAATGGTCACATGTAGACTGAAAATTTGAGCTGTGTTGAACTGACTGAGGATTAGGCCCAATGGCAAGCTTTGGTATTTGAAGGGGCACTTTTGTGATCTCTTAAGTAGACTATTATTCTATCATGAAGTGGCTCTGAGCTAGAACAAAGCAGAGATCTGTGTGACCTCTGGGCTACTTGTTAGCCATCATTCCATAACAAAACTTGTATTAGAGTTTCTGTTAGGATTTGAGGTTCACACGGTGATGAGTAAGAAGATAGTCTTCTGGGTTATGGTGCCGTGTAGTTTTTTAGAAATTTGCCAGCATTTCAGAAGTCCTTGTTGGAACCATTACTGCCCTGATGATGGAGGCAGCAAGGACATTTGAAAAGTTATACTCTACCAGACTGCATGGTGCTACAACCCAGAAGACAGCCATTTTAGGATTTCTGTTAGTGATACGGATGATCAGTGTGTAACAGCATGGCGTTTTTTTTCTTTTCTTTTCATGTTCATCCTGTCATGGCCTGTTGAACACCACTTGGGAAATCACCATTCTTATTCTAAATGCCAATATGGAAGGTAAGATGATGAGGGTGATTACAAAAGTGTCATCTCTGCACCACAGTGTTCTTTTGTTAATTTTGTGTCTAATACTGAAATTAAAAACTTGAGAGAAAATGTGGAGATATTGGGGAATAGGTATAATGCCTTATTAGCTGCTGAAGTACCTCACATCACTCAGAATATTGAGCTACAGCACAACTTCTGCAATTTGTCAAAAATGTGTTTAAATGACGACAATGTTAACAGTCCTGTTACTTATTGTGAAGGTGTTGATTCTGGTTGTTTGACAGTGGTGTTAAAAAATGATCCATTAATAGTAGAGGCTGTGTGTAATAATTCTAGGTCTTGCACAGGTCTAGGAATGCATAATACAAATATTTGTGTACAAACCTCTGAAGATCCAGCCTTATCTTCTGAATCATCAATGTCAGGTAACATTAAACAAATGGGAAATGGATCATCCAGCAAACTAAACATTCCTAGACTTAGATTGAAGGTAAGAAATAATTCAGAGGAAGAGATCATCAAAGATAGATGTGGTAATGTTTCTTTTTTGCAATCTCTGAAACATCATAACCAAGTTAAAATGAATAATTGTGACTTCCCAAGTGATTTGGCATCTGATGAAGGTGGAAGTTTTTCATCATTGTCTGAATTTGCGAAGAAACGGGTATCAAGCGTGCCAGAACCAAAAATAGCAGAGGAGAGTAGTAATTTCTCATCTTTAGCCATGTTGGCAAATAAGCATTCAGAAATGTTGGAATCAAAATTATATGATGATTGTAGTCATTTCTCATCACTGGCCCATCTTGCAAAGAAGCATTTGTCAGAAACACTAGAACCTCAGCTACCATCAGAGAAGAGCAATCGTTTCTCATTTTCAGCCAAACTTGCAAATAAACATTCATCAGATGCAAATGATCTTTTGCCATCAGAAGGAAATCATTTTTCATCACTTGCTCAACTTGCTGATAGGCATAATAAAGAAACCAAACTGCATGCCACAGGTAATGATAATATTTCATTGCTGGCTAAACTTGCAAGTAGACGTTTGAAGTCGGAAGTACAAACACAAGAACAGTTCTTGGCACAAGCAGAAGTTGAATCACAATGTGAGCAGGTGAAAATGGAAGACTCTGTGTTATCTTTAGCTGATCTTGTATCTCAGCAATTGAAAGTACATGAGGATTTGAAGACCAGTGACGTGAGACATATGAAGGAATTGAAGAGATTGCAGAAGGTAGAACCAGTATCGTGTTCCCCAAATGAATATGTGGACTTGAAAACGTGTATACTGTTTTCTACTGGAAATAGAAGGTCATTGTCAGCTGGGAAAGAACCAGGGGTTCCTGTAGGCCAGAGATTTGACAACTTGGCAACAGGCTTACAGACTCAAAATTCTGGAAGTGAAAAGAAAGTTTTGAGTGAACTTGATAGTTATTATGAGACACCTTTTGACACTAGTTTTGGTGTAGCAGCTGTTGAACACAATTCAGTGAACAGAACTCTGACTGAAGAAGAAAATGAAATGGACTGGGAAATTGATTTGACACATGCACTTATATCTCCAGGTTCAAAATCTTCACGATCATCTGCAAAACCAGAACCTAAAATTGTGGACTCAAAATTACAAGACACAGAACAAGAAGTGTTATCTGATATTGTTCTGCATGAGACCCCTGAATTGTCATTAAATTTGGATGTTAGTTTAAACATTTTTAACCAGAAACTACCAAATCATAAAAAAAGATCACAGTTTGGAATAATTCTTTGCAGGAAACGGAAACAATTACCCATCCCATATATTGCTCCCAGAAAGGAAAGCTTGAATAAAATTGTATGTTTCAGTTTCAACACAGATTCTCCTGATGATATAGTTTTGAAGCATCGAAGGAGAAAGTGAAATATGACGAAAACCTCAGTGTATCAGAGAAACTGGGTATTTTATATATATTTTTCAGGAAATTAGTTTAGTTTATTACGTTAAAAAAATGTGTACGTTTATTTGTCCTTATTCTGGGATGTGGATGTTAGGTTGACAGTCTTTCTGCTCAACAGTTATACTGTCAGTGTTTATTAAGAATCGTGTTTTGACCTTAATTGGTCATCTTCAGGTGGTTCTCTGTTGACTTTACCTTGTAATGGACTGTTACTTAAACAGTTTACCAGTTTTAGTAGAGTAGCAGGTGTAGTTATCAGGATGTGGATTTTTATAATTGTAGAACTGATCCGAAGAGCCTCGAATCTCCGGAAATTGTAGAACTCTTTGTGGAAACACCAGTCCTCCTTTTTATTGCTCATTGAGATTGTTGCGGTTCAAATGAAATATTTCACAGCTTCAGTCATTTCTGAAGCAGTCTGATCCATGCTCTGCATCTGCAATGTTTTGATGTTTTCTTGTTACTTATGTTGACATTGGTATCTGGAATCAAATAAATTAACTATTTCAAAATAAATAATAGGCCCTATTACTGTACAGTTGCAGCAGTATATATGTATTAATTCATTGGTCATGTTATTACATTTTATAAACAGATTGATAATAACAGTTTTAAAGCCTATGAAAGAAAATTATATTTGTGCTTTTATCATGACATGCCAGTCGTATTTTGTCATTAATTGTAACACTACCTTCACTGCCTTTATTGACCAATATGCAAAGGGTTGCTCTGCCTGTATAGTCCTGTAGATTACGTCATATAAGTAAAATTTTAAATTCCATCACATTTAGACTGATGGCGTGGTGACTGGTCACATTTAATTCCTTCATATTTTCACATTCTGATACATTCCATCCAGTTTTGGAACTTAAGTTTATCTAGTACAATTACTAAGCAATTTATATAGATCAAATACAGTGTGTGCATGATCGTGCGTATGTGTATGTACATGCATTCACACTCCTGTTTCTTACTCTTCAAGAATAATATCATATCTGTGTTCTTGATAGCACAGCTCTGTATAAAACTAGGCATTCATATTTAAGAGACATCCACGCAGGAAATAAATCATCATTGTCTTGCATTTGATGTGGTTTAAAAGGTATTTTAAATTATAGGAATGTTTTGATTTTATTTACTTTTTTGTCCTGGGTTTGTCATAAAAATCTACAAAAGAAAATTGTGAAATTTATAGTAAAGTATCTGCTTTTTATTTTAAGAAACTATGCACAAGTGTGAGCCATTTGACTTCATTTAGAGCATGTATGTTACACATTGGACTTTTTAAAGGTTTAGTTTTAGTATATTTAGTACCTAAAATTACTCTAATTTTTTGAAACTGAACACATGACACGCAATTTCACTGTGAGCGATATGGGTATTGTTTTATTTTTGTAAGACTTTAACTTTACATAAAGGACTTTTTGAGTGATTTTATTGTTCCAAGATCGTTAAATTTCAAGCATCTCTGCTTAAACAATTTGTCAAGGAAAAGAAATAATGATTTTTCCGACATGTACATTATATCTGTGAGACAACTGGATTATACCTTACAAGAAAAGAAGGCACTAGTCATGGCCTCATTGTAAAAGTAGCCGTGAAGAAAGGAAGTAATTGAAAAAAATGCAAATTTTTTAATCATGCGAAGAGACTTCAGCATGTTGCAGTAATTGTTAATGTGATTGTTAATGTCTTTGGCTCTGTTAATAAGTAAAGGAAGTTTTCATTTTTAAAGTATTTTTAAATGCGATTTGAGGTTTCCACATTAGTGAGTCTGAAGATGGCTGTCTTCGTGTAGTGTCTCCATCATCAGGGGCTAATTGCTCTGATGGCAGCAGCAGCAAAGACCTCTGAAACATCAGTAAACTTCTACATAACTACGTAAATCATTTGGAAAGAAACTAGGTTTGTTGTGTGTGGTGGTTTTGATGAAAGACATATTCATGTCTGTTTCTAATTCAGGCATACACTTGCTATGAACATGTGACAGCTAACAATGCCTGGCTGACTAGTGATGCATTTTATCTGATCAGTTGGGCTGTGTTCCAGTATATGGATTACCACAGAACTGTGAAAGTAAGGAAGAATATTTTTTTGTTTTTCAAAGTGTTAGGCAAACATGGTTAACATGAATTATTGTCTAAAGTTCAGAAGGACCCAGTATCCTTTTCAGAATCCTATTAGAGAGCTGTGTGTGGCCTCTGATCCAACAATATCAATGTTATGAGTTTAATCAACCAGTTTTATAAAATTTGAGTACCATGCCATTTAAGATGTTAGTAACAAAATTAGCATCATTGAACATTAAGATCTTGAAATTTTGTGTTGCAATACTCATTTAATTGTATGCTAGTTATATTAATGCAATTCTTTATGAAAATTGAAGAAAATAACATGACAATAATGCTGAGTATTTTGTCATGACAGATATGTAACTGATTACATATTGTAACTGACTTAAGATGAGAAATTTATATAATCTATCCATAGCACAAGTATATAAAAGTCTCTGTGTGATCCTTTTAAATATTACAATTAACCATGCTGTTGGAGAGTGCTTTTTCTACTTGTTTGATTTCATGGAGAGAGATGTGATGGGCCATTGGTGATCTGTGCACTGTGGCCTGATATCTACATCCTATTAAAATGAGTTTATTATCATGGAAACCAGTAGGCAGAAAGGAATTTTATTGTTATAACAGGCATTTCATAAGATCCTTGAAGGATGCTGTTTATCGAAATATGATTGAGGATTGTCAAGTTGAGGTTTTCCTGTATATCACACCACCACTTGGGAGCCATTTTTAGTCAACATTCTGTTTTACTTTACAGCAATTATGTGTAAGAATTGTATAAGTTGTCATTATGAAATTACTTTTAATTATTGCTGTTTGACTTTATTCTCAAATTATGGATTAATTTATTTCTGAATATTACCACTTTTAGTTTTATTAATATTTGAATGAATGTTCACTGCCTTAAATTTTTATGTTAATGCAGTCCTGCATAACATATTAAAGTTTCTTGTCCTAGTCTTCTTTCAAGCACTTGGTTTGGAAATATAGCACTACCACAATATATGCTGTGCATTAACTGTCTAAGAGCCAGTTGCTGGTTTGATTGTATACAGCCTTCATGAGAACATTGTAATAGTGTAATGGAGTACAGTCATGTTCAAAAATGAAGGTATGGAATACTGCATAAGAATATGGGAAAAAGAAAGAAAGGGACAAAGAAAAATTGATGTTCTGAAGTAAGAATTGAAAATGATTTTGTATGACAGTGCATAACATAAATTCAAAAGCACCAAACATTCATTCTATCTGTATGTATTTGTATGTTTTGCAACATTTTTAATTTGGTATTAGTTATCAGATCTCTTTATTTAAGAATCATGTCTTTGTTGTTAGGAAGAATATGAATCTCTTGATTTTTAGAGGTTATTTATACTATAAGAGTAGTTTTTAGTAAAGTGTGTTTGGTTTTGTATGTGTATTGTAATGGATTCATTGATTATGCTGTGGGTTCTTTGTAAACTGTTATGATTGATTAATTCCTTCCTTAATATTTTGCCAGTTTTCAAAACTCAGTCTTGAGTCTTCACTTCACATTGATTGTAACAGTCTTTCTTCATGCCAAAATATACATGTAAATCTGTGCTGTGGCACCCGATTCACATAGCTTTATACTTGCAATAATGTCATTGAGCTGACACTGTCTTCTCTGGACTTATGATAAAAGCAACTTGCTGGATATACCTGGCCTGTTTACTGGCTTACTCAATTCCATTGGGGCCACTTATGTAAATTAAAGCTGCCCCACTATATGCCATGTAGGCACTTGGGGGGAGGAACAGGTATAGCTCTTACTCATTCTTGACCTTGGCACTAGATGGGGGTGAGTGGTCAGCATCACTCCCCAGCCCCAGAACCAGTGTGGATGCAGAGGCGAGAGGAAAACTGCTCTGCTCCCATCGGGGATCGAGCCCCGGTCGTCCAGTCCATAGCCAGTCACTATACTGACTTATGTAACCAAATCAAAGAGTCTCCAAAGTTTCAGATCATTCGAGACTAGCATAGCAAGGCTGAGACTGTCAGATCCATACTGAAAAGCACATGTACTTGGTGGAGCCTTGAATAATCTGCATGTGCTGCAAATGTATGTCACTGTTGGGAGGGGGTAGGGGATGGGCAGTTGGACACTTGTTCTCACTTTGCATGTCAGTGACAGTATTTTTTTTATTGATGCACATAATTAGATGTAAGCCCAGTCATAGCAGTGGAATTTTGGGAAAAGGGATTTAAAGTTTACATTCAGTATGTTTGTCTGTCTTGTCCTCTCATCACCTATTTAATGTGCAGTAATTGATGAAATAAGTTACAATTTAATATATAGGAAATTAATTTTGAATTTATTTTTGTACTCATAATACTGTATTGACAAATTGCTCAAGCTCTGCATATGTTTTAATGTAGGGAGTGACAGTTTTTTTCTGTTTCTGTGCTTTAAATGAAAGCAATAAAATTTTGGATATCCATATTGTATTCTGATTGTATGTGTGAGGATTACAGTATTAGTCTGATATGATCATAGAATGTTTCTCCAGAGTAAAATTTTGCATGTGTGAATGATGAAGGTATTTATTTCATAACATGAAATTATTGTTTTACTGCTAATACTATTACTGCTAGGTGGTATTGTTGGAGTTCTTGATTTTCAGCCATAAAATGTGGAATATTTGTAGTGGTGAGGTTACTTGGTATAAACTGACCCAGATATTCATATACTCTGAATATGATGTAGTTGTATCATTACAGATTGATCTTTCTGTAGGAATATAGGGTCCAGAGTATGTTACAATCATTTACATTGGAAAATTACTGGAGGAGAATTCAGGATTTGGCATCCGTCATTAATAATTGTTGTTACATTTGTCTTTAAAATATACTATGAGGAAATATGAGAAGAAATGGCAAATTAGTTTTATAGTGATTTGGAAAGTAAAGATGGAAAATTATTTTGCGTAGTTTAAGTAGTGTCCAGCTTTTGTGTTGAAGGACTGAAGAGGAAAATTGATCCAGCTGAAGTTATATCTGATCATTCATAAGGAAGTCTTATTCAGTCACTGATGTAATATCTTTGATTAATTATCTCTGTATGGGGTTATATTTTACAGATGTACAGAATATCACATGGGGTTGAACTGTTTAGGCACTGGCTCTACAAATGGGCATATGTTTAAGTGTAGGGGCTTTTAAAGAAGCCTATTTAGTATATCGGATATCGGACATTCTGTGCGTAAAAGACACATGTTTTAAATTCCCTGAATTACTTGGTAATTATTAGGTACATACAATATTTAGGGTACACTATAAATATTGTACATTTTGTAGCTAATAAATGAAGGTTTTTTCTTAATTTAATATTTTTACTGAACTGAACTTTTGTCAGTTTTGAGTAATCGATATGATTTTGGCAACAATAAAGAAATAGGGTGATGTTTTTCATTGTGAGATATATATTTATTCGGAATTAAGAATATGTGATTTCCGGTTACAAAATATGTTTTAAGAACAGTTTTAGATTGATTTATTTAATATTTCAGTGTGATGCAACCACACTGAATTACAATGTAAAAGCAGTAATGAAGAAAAACATTCTTCTGAACTGAGCCAGAATTATAAAAGTTGACCTCATTTTTATAAAAATATATGCTTGTAAAAACTCATGCTGTAGTAGAATGTTGAATTGAAGAAGAACTTGAAAGTTAGAGTTAGTAATTTTGTTACTGTTAGCCAGTATGTCTTTGTTTTTGTTTTGTGAAGAAGTCATGATATTATCTGTAATTGGAGCAATAGTATCTTTTTAGTATGATGAGAATGAATGGAAGTTCATCATCCCTTTACCCATCTTGAACTTTATACATAAAATTTTCCATGCATACACTCTTTTCCTTATGTAAATTCCATGTAGCAGCATGTTTATGTCACATGCACAGCGTAATGGGTTATAGAGTTTCACTTTCAGGGGTGCTTAAGTGATTTATTACATATGCATAGAAACCATCATAACCAACACCTGCAATTCATTATAGGAACATTTGCAACTAAAAGTTGCAAAAATGCAGCTGTTATCTTCTCCCTGTTTGGCTGTCAACAACCCAAGAGCTACAGAACTCATTTCCATAAGATTTGATATTTTGGAGTTTCACTAAAATTCGTTAACACATTCTAATTTTGGTTGAAAACAAACAGTAATTGGCAGTTTACATGAAGATCTACATGCAGGATGATACTGAGGCATGATCTAGTATGAGAAAATTGCTTTTCATTAACATTATTGGTTTTTACTAGGTGCTAAACGATCTACAGGTATTCCTGATGAACCTAGAATTGATGATTCCAGCACTAGTAGCAGGCAGAGTGGTACCGTTCTCCAGGAGGAGAAATTGGCTACAGCACCTACTGTAAAGGTGGTTCCTCCTGGCACCAAAACTGTCAACATCACAAAAGGCTTTGATGTACCTACTGAGAAACCTGAACGAGGTAAGCGTGTTTAGTACATTTTGTGATACAATTGTAATTTTAAATATTTTCATCTTTAGATAATCAGAAATTTTTGTTAGTGAGGGTCGCTATTTCTGAGAGGAAATAAAAGCTTCTTCCCAAAGGGACGTCCTCCAGCAACTGGCACGGTTGACTCTGAAGTTGAGGTTAGAATGCTGTGTCAATCTTTGCAGCAAAGCATAAGGGCTGATAAGTCTGCCCACAAATTTACTAAGAATTGATGTTGGCATGATGATTGGAAAGTTGTGTGATGATTTCTTTCAAGCCATTACATGTAAATTATGACAAATGACTGATACCTCAGGTGATAGGCCTGGTCACCCTTGTGCTTCCACATCCTGGTTGCAATATTAGTGCAAGAATGACCTAAGATTGATGGAAAACTATTGCACAACATTGGCCTTAGATTACATTAGTGCAGCACTGACCTACATGATGTGACATGAACACCATTTTGGAATTTCATTGCACTTTCAAATCTTGATTACATTTGATTGGCATATACACTTTTTTCTTACACTGTTAATGATAATGGCACTGTAATATTTAAAGTATAGGTTATGTTATTTGTTACATCACATCAGTGTTTGACGTCATCTATTATCACAAATCTTAAAAAGTAATTCTTGTGAATTGTGCAGTCATATTAAACTTTTTATAGATGGCAGTGACAGTTTGAAGCCTGAATCAAATACAGCTTCCCCTCGATCTCAGTCTCCATCTTCTGGCAGAATGAGCCCTTCCAGCATGGGGGCGAACATTACTGATAGCTTGTCTGATTACAAGACTTTGGTTGTGAAAGAAATGAAGATGTCTGCAAGGTGAGAACTTTTCATTGAGTACTTACTGCAAGTATACTCAAATCTTAAGTACTGAAAATAGGGCTGTCTCACTGTTGGCTCCTATTTGGAGCTTCACTTTGGAATCAGCATTTGGATGATCTTAGAATAAGGAAATAAAATTTAGTTCTTACCCCCTGTCAGTCACTGTTACAATTTGCTGACGTATCAGAACGTTTGACTCCAAATTTATCTGATCAATCCTCTGAGTTTTAATTGTAAAATGTGAGAGTAGAAGGCAGCAAATAGACTTCTACCAGACTACATGACAACCCAGAAGAGAGTCATCTTCATATTCATTGCCTTGAGAACCTCAGGTCTTGACTATACAATGTGTTGTGAAGTGAAAATGATCTGACACTTAGAGAATTAATTTTTATAGTGTAGGATGAAAGACATTCTATATTTATCTGTGTTTATATCCTGTAGGTCTCATGACAATAAAGTGGATATCCTAGCTCATTACCAGCAAGAACGTGGTCAAAGCAAAGAACAGCTTCATATGGTTGTGATAGGTCATGTGGATGCAGGCAAGAGCACTCTCATGGGTCATCTTCTGTACTCACTTGGTCAGGTTAACAAGAAGATAATGCATAAGTATGAGCAAGAGAGTAAGAAACTAGGAAAGCAGTCCTTTGTTTATGCTTGGATTCTGGATGAAACTGGGGAAGAAAGGTAATAATTCTGAGTTTTAACAAACTATGCTTGTCAATCTGCAGATGATAGGAGGGAAAACATGTATAATTTGTATTGGCATTCTTTACTGAAAAATGAAATTTTAGGTATGGGGTCTCAAGTGAGATGAGCTGTTTGAAAGTGGAGAATGGGTAGTTAATTAATTTGTTACCTTCTGAAACTCTGATTCAATTAAATTTTTATTAATTTGTTTTATGACGTAATGTAATAAGTAGATTTGTCATGTGAATCTCACCAGTAGCTCATAAGATGAGAAAATAATTTTGAAAAATAAAAGTTAAAGCTATCCATGTCCCAATGCATCACATTAGAAATGTGTAAAGCAGATATGGACATGGAGCTTTACACATCCTCAGACTTTCCACTAGCCTTGGTTATATTAATATCTCAGGGAAATCACCTTTGGTATCCACTGCATGGTAAGCTATGGCAGCTCCAAAATCAGTCTGATATGGTGAAGGAAAATTATCATTTCTCATGTTAGAATACAGTCCCAGGCCACTTATGTAATAGCAAGTCAGTCATGGTCTTCTTAGATGTGACATTACATTGCTTTGAAATGTTTTTATGCACCTACAAGGCCACACGATGTCACAACACCGAAGCCCGCAGTCAATATCCTCGCTACCAGGATTAACACAAATCTGAAGTAGCCAATCACTTCATTGGTTAGTGACTATGATCACCACTCTTTTGTACAACCAATTCCATTGCATTTATCTGTATTTTGTAGGTCACGTGGCATAACAATGGACATTGGTCAGTCTAAATTTGAGACGAAAACAAAAGTAGTTACACTTCTAGATGCTCCAGGTCATAAAGACTTCATTCCCAACATGATTACGGGAGCAACTCAGGCTGATGTTGCTCTGCTGGTAGTAGATGCTACTAGGGGAGAGTTTGAAACAGGTTTTGAGAGTGGTGGACAAACTAGAGAACATGCCCTGCTTGTGCGATCATTGGGTAAGTAGAACTTCATCTTTCAAATATTGTTTGTAGTTTTAAGGCTGGCATAGCACTCTAATTGCTAATATTCTAGGAATGTCTAGTATAAATCTTTGTTTACATGGCATTGTTACAGTTAATGTTTTATGCATTCTTTGCATAAGGTTTATGAAGTGAATATAAGCATTTTTTCAGGTGTTTGTCAGCTGGGTGTTGTGGTGAATAAGCTGGACACAGTCAGCTGGTCACAGGAGAGGTTTGAAGAGGTTGTTGGGAAGCTGGGAGCCTTTCTTCGGCAGGCTGGATTTAGAGAATCGGATGTCACATTTGTTCCATGCAGTGGCCTTACTGGAGAAAACCTTATTTCTCCTCCATCAGAGTGCATGTTACTGCAGTGGTACAAAGGGCCATGCCTTTTGGATGTTATAGGTATGTTGGTACTCTAGTGTTCCAGTGTCTTTCAACCCATTATCTTTTATAAAGCTATTTATTGTTTATAGTTTAATTTCAGTTTTGTTGATGTTTGGATTGCCTTTGTTGGACTTACTGTGTTTATGTGGTTGTGAAATGTAGTCTCTTACACTGAACATTGAACATGTTATTTATTTGAAAAAAATTGGGCCTGAGAGGGTTGAATAAAGTGGGTAGTTCAGAATATTCATTCATTGGACATGAGTCCATGTTTTCAGCTTAACCAAAGGCAGTTGCAGTTCAGTCAACTTTAGAATTGATTTCATATCAGTACTCTATGAGTGCACAGCTTTCAAGGTAGGCCAAGTTGCCAGTTATTGCTTAGTTTGTGGAAGTGAATTATCCTTTGTAGTGATTGTTGAGAGTGTATTTAATGTACATGAGTGCTAGTATTCATAATTTTTACATAATTGGTGTTATCTGTTTTAAGCACTTGGCTTGCTAGTTATTTTCTGAATTTGGAGCCAATACAAGCTTTTTATTTTAGTTTTATTGAGAAAATACAGTATTTCTCAGTGAAAGGATAAAGAATGGTTATATGTTGCACGCTTTATTAGAAATCAGAATAGCAAGTGTCTCATATTTTATTATCAGTTCAGAGTATATTTTAAAGAAATAATATTGACATCTGTGCTTCAGATGTGTGACTGTTCATAAATGTTGTCCAAGATTCAAGGAAACATTTTTCTTCCAAGTCGCATCTTGAGTGTGTATGTAACCATATGGATGGGGTGCTTCACCTGGTGTATCGGTATAAGAATGGATTTTGGTATTTGACCTTTTGAAGCAGATGAAATGTTCCTTAATTCTAATACCAGTGTGTGAAGAGATAATTGGTAGCTATGTTGATTTCAGAAATTGAACAAGAAAATGGTGCATCAAGTTTATATTTGTTTTGTTGTTCGCAGATAAATTTAAATCTCCTGAACGACCCATCACAAAACCATTCCGTTTATCAGTAAATGATATCTTCAAAGGAACTGGATCTGGATTTTGTGTCTCGGGACGTGTGGAAACTGGAATGGTTCAGGTTGGAGACAAAGTGCTTGTCCAGCCTCAAAATGAAGGCGCTGTAATAAAAGGTAGGTATCACTTTAACAACCTCATTCTTTATTGATGATGTTAATCCTTTCCATAGAGGTTTTTATTTGAGGTAACTTTCTTCTGATAGTTCACCTATGTGGTAATGTATGTTTAAAAGCTACAAATAGTTGAATCCAAATGTTGAGAGCTGTTGGAATGTGTTTTTATGACTGGCACCGAAGAAATCCAGACTGGAACAGCCAGTGGTTCTAAGCAATACATGTTGTGTTTAGTACAGAAATGGTTAACTTCATGCTCGGCTTTTCACATGTCAGTAGTCGGTCCTTTCACCAAATTGTACAGGCAGAGAATTAGAAAGTAGAGACTATAACTAGACATACCACAAGAATGAAGAATATGAACTTCATAGGAGGTTGTGTTTCGATTTAGATTCATTGTTTTATGAGAAATTACAACTGATTTTTAATAAGTAACACTCATTGGTATGTTACACTTGTATTTATTGTTTCAATAAATTTCAAACGCTCTGTTTCTTCACATAATTGCTGGGGCAGTTGAGATTATTGTCATATGCTGTACCACCAGTTTGATTCCCACAAAGAGGTAATAGGGGCACAGTGGTTGCACCAACTGGTGTACCTTTGCTTTTACCTTGTCATAATGTCAGATGTGTTCTTTTTCAGAGTGTTCTTCATCGGTTCAATGCAGTGCCAAACTTACGCATACGCTAGCTACAGCTTAGGGCCTCATGTTATGAGGGGCCTTAAAAATATTATAAATTTTAATCTGTAGCTTTACACAGTGATCTTTATATACCAGTGCTAATATAATGCTTTCATTCACATCATTTTCATGTCCATGTTTTGATGTTCGCGCTTATTCAAAATAATAGATATATATTTCAACTTTAGAATTTTTGGGGCCTCTTAAACTTAATATAGTTCAGGAAGTCAAAGTCTGGCCTTAGTTTGATGAGGTGGAAGTCACTAGGTACAAGGTCTGGCATGTGTGGTGGGTGGGCAAGATATTTCCAGTGAAACTGTTCCAGGAGTTGTGTTATGGTGCAGGCTGTATGGGGATGCGGTGTCCATTGCCATAGAGAAAGATTAATTTTTCTGTCAGCGAACCAGGGCATTTCCTCCTGATGGCTTTCTTCAGGTGCCACTGTGTTGTGCAGTAGTAGTATGCATTCAGTATTGCACTGTGGTTTAGGAAGTCGCAGAAGAGAAACCCCTGTCATTAGGACAGTGATTATCAGATAGGATACATTAGACTGGGCATGTAACTAGGATGGGAAAGATAAAGAATGCATGTAGAATTTTGGTGGGGAAGTCTTTTGGAAAGTAAGACTGTGGAGACAGTAGGAGGTTAACATTAAAATGAGTTTTAGGGATTTAGTTTGTGAGAATGGCAACTAAACAGAACTGGCAGGCTTTGGTATTAACGGTGTTGAACATATGGTTTCTGCTATCAGAGTGTAGTTATTAAATTACAAAAAGTATCCATTTAAATAATTGCTTTGTATTGTTAAATACTGGTACAATTAAAATTGTAAGATGTAAAGTTACTAGTCTTTCTTTAAATTTTATGTGCTGGCACACAACTGTAATTTTAAATCTTGTTGCTATTTATACATCCTGTGGTACTATTTGGCTAAAATTTGTGCCCAGGCTAAGATTTTAGTCTTGACATTGGATCAAACAGTGACAGAAAATAAGTCTAAAATATACGTTACTATTTTCAGCTTTGAATATTGATGATGTAGCAGTGCAAGTGGCATTTGCTGGGGATCATGTAAGTGCAACACTGTCAGGCATTGACATGCAGAATGTTTCAGTGGGGTATATCTTGTGTGATCCAATGCAGCCCATTCCAGTCACATCTCACTTTGAAGCTCGCATTGTCGTCTTCAATGTTAAACTTCCCATAACGAAAGGATATTCGGTAAGTTCAGTGGGAGAGAATGTTAATTATCCTAAACCTTTTCTCCACATACTAGAGTTTGGATTCTTAATTGGTAAATATAATTTCTGTACTGTTCTAGTTCTTTTATAGTGTAGGTTTGTAGTTATACATCATGTGTGGTGCAACTGCTCTTAACTCCAGCAAGAGATAATTTTTCAGCACAAGTATTAGTTTCTGTAATGAACAACTCAAGAAATGTGTAGGTGCATTATCACCAACAATTTCTTAGTCCTTATACCAGTAAAATAAATAACAGTGGGAGTTCCATCTGACCAGGTATGGTTTGACTTAGTATAAGTATTTCTGAGGCTGTTTGTTTTCCACACAAAGGACCCAGATTTTAAGGGGGGGGGGGGAAGAAGTGAAGTGATAAAACGTTCCTTGGTTGTTTTCCTGGTATTTATGTGAGTAAGTCACATTTGTTTCATTGTTTAGTGATCACATTCTGTTGTTGTTTTAACAGTTGGAGTTGCAGTTTTGATTACTTGCATTGATTTTATTTCTGTGCAGTTTGTCAATGTCCTGGAAAGTAAATTAATTATTGAAGAAATTTGAGATTTCAGTCTAATGTTGCGGGCACACTCAGTACTGCTCACAGTAGGTTATAAAGTTGTGTTCATTGTGTCCGTGTTGTGCGCAATGCAGGTTATTCTCCATCACCAGTCATTGCTAGAACAGGCTGTCGTCACTAAACTGGTAGCTCAGTTGCACAAGAGTTCTGGAGAGGTTATCAAACGACGACCACGATGTCTGGTGCGCAACTCAAATGCTGTTGTTGAGCTAGAAACATCTCATCCCATCTGTTTGGAACTGTACAAGAACATCAAGGAACTTGGACGATTCATGCTGAGAGTTGGAGGGATTACTGTTGCTGCAGGTCTTGTTACGCAGGTAAGGAAATTGAACATTACAGTGAATCTTAAACATGTTGCTCAAAGGTTAAAAGTCAAATAAGTAATGTAATATATATATTTTATCCATCATGCAATCAGTAACCTTTTACATTTGCATTTGTTGCATAATAATTTGAGTTAGCTTTACAGTTACAGTTCTGTGTTCATGTTTTGCCTGAAGAAATTTTTTTACCACCATTAACAGATAATACAATACAATAATATATATTCTGTTTACAGATATTCTAATGTGTGCAAGGTACATTGGAGATGCTGCAGAAGTCTGAGAGATTTTCAAGCTGAAGACTGGAATCTGACTGACAAAAAGTGTATTTCTGTTGCTTAACAATGGATGAAAAATAATAACAGTATTCAGTATGTGAAACACAGTTGTAGTTAGATTTTATCTTCTAGAAAGAATGACACTCTTACTTTGACATACCAATGTATTAAAAGATAATTAAAAATATATGGAACTGGTTTCATGTTGCAGATTCATTTCTCTGTTATTTATTTAATTGCTTATGTTTAGCTATAAAAGCAAGTTTCCTTGATGTTACATTTAAAAGACAACTTTAAAAGGTAAGATGACAAAGTTGTCCCTGGTGTGTAACTAAGCACTACACCATGCAGACATGTGGAAGAGTGAGTGATAGCTCCAGCCATTGACCTTGGCACTAGATGGAGGTGAGTGGTTAACTTCATGCCCCAGTCTGATACCCATTAGCTAGAAGAGAGAACTGGCCCTAGGGGTGGTTTAATAGTTATCTTATTACCGACATAGCTGCCGCTATCGGCCAAAGGATCGGTCTACAATGATATGTAGATAGCGTGCGTATGCCTTTTCGTGTTAATTAGCGTTAATGTACATGTTTGTTTTTTGTAATCTATGGATGCTGATAATTATAGTCTGTGGTCCAGTTTAATCAAATAGAACAAGTGCTCCGAAGGTGGTTCTGTAATTTGTGGGTGGTAATCGCAATGTGTACAATAGCTTTGGTTGTTTAAAAATTGCTGCTGCAAGTGGTTTTAGGTTAGGTGCGTATTATTTTTTTCTTAAGGTTTTGTTTCAAAGTAGACGATGAACAGGAATAAAAGAGAGATGCCACTTGAAAAACGTTCTACTTACTACGTTTACATTTTGATATAACCTTCTTTGAGTTTGAGATGATTCATTAATGTTTTTAGGGTGACTTGTGTTAGAAATTTCAGGTTATTACTGCTCCGAGTATGAAGATGACTTTTTTCTGGGTTGTAGCGCCGTGTATTCTGGTACGGCGCCCTGATCATGGAGGCAGCAAGTACTTCTCAAACGTCGCAATACTTATAC